GCTAGAACAGCTTCCGCGCGAGCTCTTGCGAAATCTTCAGAAAACCATTGGATTTTCAAGATTTTCACAAAAATGTTATTAAACGGGCTTCGCGCGCGCGCATGTCGAAATCTGTCGAGCGCCCTTGCGCGTGTGCCGTCGCGAGAATCCTCTGCAAAAAACGGGACGAAATGCAGACGCGCGCGTCGTCGCGCGCGTATGCCAAAAACCCATCGGTTTCGGAAGTATTTCAAAATCGTGTGTCCAAAAAACCTTTAACAAAAAAACACAAGGTTTCGCAACACGGATGTTCAACAAAAGCGTGCGCGCGCGCGCTCTTGCGTCGTCGTCGTCGTCGTCGCCGTCCTCCCTCTTCCCCAGTCGTCGTCGTCGTCGCCTACGTCGTCCTCTGTCTTTCCTCGTGTTCGTCGTCGTCGTCCTCTTTGGCGTCGTGGTCGTTTCCGTCGTCGTTGTTGCCGTGGTCGTCCTTCCTCCTCCTCCCTCGTCGTCGTCGTCGTCCGTCGTCGGCGTCTCGTCGTCGTCCGTCCTATTTCGTCGCCGTCGTCGTCGTCGCCGTTGTCGTCGTCGTCATCCCTGCTCCCTCGTCGTTGTCGTCGTCGGCGCCGCCGTCCTTCCTCCTTCTTCGTCGTTCGCGTCGTCGCCGTCCTCCCTCCTCCCTCGTCGTTGTCGTCGGTGTCGTCGTTGTCGCCGTCGTCGTCCTTCCTGCTCCCTCGTCGTCGTCTTCGTTGGCGACGTCGTCGTCGTCTTCGTCGTCGTCGGCGGCGTCGGCGTCGTTGTCGTCGTCGAAGTCGTCGGAGACGTCGTCGGTGTCGTCGTAGTCGCCGTCGTCGTCGTCGGCGTCGTTGACGTCGTTGACGTCGTCGTCGTCGTCGTTGTCGTCGTTGTCGTCGTCGAAGTCGTTGGAGACGTCGCCAGTGTCGTCGTAGTCGGTGTCGGCGGCGCCGTCGTCGTCGTTGTCGCTGTCGTCGTCGGCGTCGGTGTCGTGGCCAAGTGTCATGTGGTACGTACCGTCACGGTCTTGTCTTAAGAGGTCTTGCGACCAAGTTGCGGGTGGGAGGGTGGGATGTTTGCACGAGCAGCGGAGAGGACAGCTTCAAGACGGTCAAAGATTATTACACAACATATGTTCCACCTCCACAGTGCAATAACTCACTGTTGGGACCCCCGTTGGAAAACATGTTTATGCTGAGTTCTCTTCGAGGAGAACGCCCGGGCAGCGGGCGTGGGAGAAAGGTTCGACCGGGCCACCGCTCTCAACACCTTCGTGCAGGAGCTCAACCTGGACTTGCTGGGCGTGTGGTGGATGGACGGCAATCCGTTGACAGCGGAGCAGTTGGTGTCCTTCGCGGGTGCACGGGGGAGTTTGCCATATCCCACGACCGTGCCAGTGCCCTTCCTCATCACGAGGAACAAAAATTGCATGAACAGAAGCTTTCGGAGCTCCGCGCGGAGTTCGGGATCGGCGCCGGGACCCCCCTCCTTGGCGCGCGGAGGGGGCCAGCGCCGATCCAAGGAATCCGCAAGGAGCTCCGAAAGTGTATGCTTATGATTCGTTGATTCTTCGGTCATCCAGCGCCGTTGGACTTGGTCGGACACGTTCGCGGGCCGCCTTCTCATCGCGTATTACGCCTTCACAGAGTCGCCGCAGACGGCGAACATTTTCGAGTTTGCGAACAGCTCGTACGCAGAAATCGTCCCCCTTGCGGCCGTTTTCTCCGGGGAAACTTTCGGGTTCCGCAAGATCAACGCGGACGAGTGGGACAGAGTTGATAACTATATTCTGCGCCGCGTTGTCAACGCAGACGGATCCGTTGGCCCTTTCTGGAACAGCTTCATATCATGGTACACTGGCTTGTATCCGAACGGGCGCTTGTTGGTCCAGGCAAGCGACAGCCATTGCAAGCGGAGATGCCAGTATTTATTCCCATGTTTTCTGTGCAATGTTATCTGTTGACTGCCACGCTGCCGTGAAAAGCAAGCAGCTCGCTCAGTGCATGGTTCGCATCTCACCACCACACGCACACCGCTGCGCGGGCACCGATCGGTTTAGGGGTTGCCGATCGCTGGTTGTTGCAGGTCCCCTCTCCTACTCCTTCGTCTGGCCCGCTCTGGCCCGCGTCCTCCTCCCCATCCCCCTCCACCTCCTCCGAATCCTGGACCGACAGCGGGCCTGTTGCCCGCACTGGCTGCACGTACTGCAAGACCGCAGGAGGTTGATGTTCTCGGGGGGGCCGGCGGGGGGAGACCGATTCGGGGGAGGGAGGAGGGCACCGACCCCGAATCACCCACAGCTCGCCGATCGGGGCGGCCTGGGAGCCCCAGCCCGCCCAGGAGCGTGCCGTGTCGCTGTCGGGGGCCTCGCGCCGACCTGCCGGCGAGGCATCGCCGACTCCAGATCGGTGGCGCCCCCCTTGTCGTGCCCCCTCTGATTCTTTGTGATCGGCGGCAAGCCCAGGGTGGGAAGTGAGAAAGAGCGGGCCTTCTGAGAAAGCCCAGAAGTCCCCCAGCCTTCTGAGAAGTTATTTGAGCCTTCCCCCGAAGACACAGAAGCCTCTCAGAAGGCCGGAGGCCTTCTGAGCAGCCCCGCCACCTTCTGAGCAGGCCTTCTCCGTCTCCTTTCCCCCCCTCGCTCGCAGCCGATATGAACATACTTGAAGCTGGCGAAGGTTGTCGCCAGTTTCGTTGTCACTTGATTCGTCCATAGAGCCGATCCGGCATGAGGACTCATCCTGTCGAGTCCGATCATGTTGGATGTCCGCCTTCCTCCTCCTCCTCCTCCTCCTCCTCCTCCTCCTCCTCCTCCTCCTCCTCCTCCTCCTCCTCCTCCTCCTCCTCCTCCTCCTCCTCCTCCTCCTCCTCCTCCTCCTCCTCTCCATTGTCATAGCACACGACGTCCTGTTAAACACGTTTAACAAGCTCAGGTCCGAGGGGGCCCAAAGCACATCGCGAGCCATTCGGCTTGCTGCAGGCTGGTTCCGCCTTATTTGCCGACGGGATGCCAGGGCGCGGGCTCTGGCGCGGCGATAGGGCATCTTGCGATGTGGGCGCCTCGGATGACCTGCCAGATGGGATCGGGTCTCCTCCTCCTCCCCCTCCTCCTCCTCCTCCTCTCCTCCTCCTCCTCCTCCTCCTCCTCCTCCTCCTCCTCCTCCTCCTCCTCCTCCTCCTCCCCTCCTCGTTCTTCACCTCCTCCCCCTCCACCTCATTTTCCTTCCTCTCCTCCTCCTCCTCCTCCTCCTCCCTCCTCCTCCTCCTCCTCCTCCTCCTCCTCCTCCTCCTCTTCCCCTCCTCGGTCTTAACCTCCTCTTCCTCCACCTCATCTTCCTCTTCCTCCTCCTCCCCCTTAAATCAATTCGCGTTCTCCGCCTGCCTGTTTTAAGTCTGAGCTCTTACCGAAAGAGCCGAAGACGTTCCAAGACGAGATGGATGAGAGAGCGTGATCCACCGCCGCTTTACTGCGCAAAAGCACCCCCCTCTTCCTCCAGAACCTGAGGGTCCCCCCCCCCTCCCGCTCCGAAAATCGCTCCCCCTGCTGAACCCCCTCCCCTTCCCCCCGGCAAAAACCCCCCTCCTCTAACCCCCCCCCCACCCTCCGGAAAACCGGGGGGGGTCACTACCAGTTCGAACCCCCCCCCCTCCAGAAAACAAGAGAGGGGTCACTACCGGTTCGAACCCCCCCCCTCCGGAAAACCGAGGGGGGGTCACTACCGGTTCGAGCCCCCCCCCTTCCGTCCCCCTCCTCGAAAACCAAGGGGGGTCACTACCGGTTCGAACCCCCCCCTCGAAAACCGGGGGGGGGTTCACTACCGGCTCGAACCCCCCCCCTCGAAAACCAGGGGGGGTCACTACGGGTTCGAGACCCCCCCCATACGCTCACCGCCAACAAACAACTCTAGGTCCCTACCACCGTCCGCACCACATCCCCCACTGCTGTCCTCAGCACCACTGTCCTCACCACCACTGTCCCCGCTATTCCCACCACTGTCACCACTATCTTCACCAGTGCCCCCACCATTGTCGCACTATCCCCACTGTCCCCACCACTGCTCCCACCACAGTTCCACTCCCCACTTTCCCACTTTCTCCACGGCCCCGACCACTGTCCCACTGTCCCCACTGTCTCCCACTGTCCCCGCCGATGTCCCACTGAGCTGTCCCACTTTTCCCACCACTGTCCCCACTGCCCGCACCACTGTCCCTACTTTACCCCTGTCCCATTATCCCACCGCCGTCCTCGCCACCGCCCTCACCACTGTCGCCACCACCACTGCACCCTCCACTGTCCCACTGTTTCCACCACATTCCCAACGTCCCCACACCACTGTCCCCACCACCACCGTCCCCACCACTGACTGTCCCCACTGTTCCCACCATTGCCCCCGCTGTCCCCACCAGTGCCCCCACCAGTGTCTCACTGTCCCCACTCTCCCCGCCACTGTCCCACCACAATCCCCCCACCTTCCCCACGGCCCCCACCACTGTCCCCACTGTTCCCACCACTGTCCCACTGTCCCCGCCGCTGTCCCACTGTGCTGTCCCACTGTCCCCACTGTCCCCACCACTTTCCCCGCTGTACTACTGTCCCACCACTGTCCGCACCACCGCCTCCACCACCGTCTCCACCACTACCGCCCCCACCACCGCCCCACTGTCCCCACCATTGTCCCGCTGTCCCCTCACCGCTGTCCCCACCACCACCGTCCCCACCACTGTCCGCACCACTGTCCCACTGTCCCCGCACCACTGTCCCCACCACCACCGTTCCCATCACTGTCCCAACATCCCCACCAGTCGCCAACTGTCCCGAGGAGCGGGCATCGTTTGCCGGCGAGGGGGGGGGGGTTCGGGGGGGGGTTCGAACCGGTAGTGAACCCCCCCCTGGTTTTCGAGGGGGGGGGGACCCGCATGTGGGCCCAATCGCAACCCACTGGGCCCAATCCCAACCAACTGGGACCAATCCCAACCAGTGCGAAAAGCAAACTGGGCCCAATCCCAACCAT